AGAAAATGCAAAACATGTATATGAAGTGTTAGAGTAATCTGAACCTACTCAAAGATCTGTCTGTACACTATGTTCTCTGTGTACACTCCTCCGTCTTCTTCCGCCTTCGCATTCTCGATCAGTGCCTTGAATCTTGATCGTTCCGAAACTCTCGACAATGCCACATATGGCTGACATTGCGAGCAGCATGGAGTTGCCAGATACAGGCCGATGTACTGAACCGTTTGTCCTTGGGCATTGTTGATGGTCATGGCGAACGCTGGCTGTACTGGAAACTGTTTGCGGCGTAGACGAAAAGGAAACGCATTGGCATCGTTATCGCTTATGAAAACAATACGCGGAATCAATACATGCTGTCCTCTGCGTTCACCCGTCATGATTGTCGCGTGAATTACGTGGTCTTTCTGGTTGACGATCCGCAGGCGCGTACCGTTACAGAGACCAAGATCGGGGTGCATTGTCTCCGACTGCATCTCAAATGCCTCGACAAGGGGAAATACTATTTCAACGCCACCAGACTCGGCAATAAGACGAACGCCTCGATCAGGGACCACTACTCTTCCAACACCGCCAGGTTCGGCAATGAGACGAACGCTTCGTTTCAGCCTTTATCACAGAGGTGCTACCAAGCCCAGGTGGTCAGTCTTCACACACGACTACGGAAGCGCAGGCAGCCCAAACTCCGAGATCAACTCCTGCACAGTCACAGATCGGTCCCATCGATCACCAGGCCAGCCCGGCGAATCCATCCGTCACCAATGAAGATTGGACTCCCACCTGACCCCATTTGGCAGCACTATTTCGTTGAGAAAGAGAATGGAAAGAAGCACGTAAATTCTGGTGCTCTAAAAAAGAACGGCAAGCCTAGTGGTAACTTGTTGAAACACTTGACGGGTCCTAATCTGTGCCCTAGTGTTCCAAAAGATGTGCAAGTTTCACTGCGTCCGTCTCCTGCTCAAGAACCAGCTCTAAGTACTGCAACTCCTACTGCGCCATCGACGATCGCCCTGACTCAGGATGCTTTGAAATGGCGCTGACTGCATATTTTTGTTTGTGCCTTGCCATTTATGCTCGCAAACGCTCCTGTGTTCCGGGAAATTCTTGCTTTGGTGGCACCTACGTTCAAGGCACCGTCGAGACACAAGCTGAGCGGAGAACTCTTGAAACGAGTCCAAACTGAGAAGCGGTTGGATGTTATCAAGTTGGTTGATGAGCAAGTGTATGTGTCTCTTGTCACGGATGGCTGGAGTGACACCAACGATTCCAGCATCATTAACTTCTTGGTAGTTGCGCCAGGTATGCCCTCGGTATTCTGGTCCTCGTGGTCGACAAGGTCTAAACAGCATACCGCAGACTCTCTTGCGAGTGAAGTTGAAAATGTAGTCGAAGATATCGAACGTTCAACATCAGCACAGGTTGTGGCCATCATTACAGACAATGCCAAAACCATGAGGAGCGCTACTGGGCAAGTTCATACTCGCAGACCAAATATCGTCAATGGTGGCTGCTCAGCACACGTTCTTAATTTGCATGATGCAGGATGTGTGCACATTTCCTGCTATTTGCCAAATTCGTTTGAGAGCTGTAGCTGTGGAAGGACCATCTCGCTCTACTTGACGAGTTCAAGTGCTTCCAGCAGGGTGTGCGTGATCTTGGATCGAAAGCAAGAAATCTCGTGTTGCCAACGCCAACTTGTTGGTATTCAGTGCTTACTTGCCTATGGACTGTATTGAACAACCAGGATATACTTGAAAAGCTCTTTTTGAGTCCGGACTATGAAGAATTCCGTAGTCGCTATCGTGGCACAGCAGCACGGAGGCGAAAACTCCTCTTCATAAGAGCATTAATTCATGACAATGTATTCTGGAATAACTCGGGAACAATTGTACGTCTGCTTGATCCGATTATTTCAACACTAAGAGTCATAGAAGCGGATAATGCATTCGTGCCGGCGGTGTACAAGTGGTTTTAATGGCTACGGTATCGTACGGCTTATGACGTCACATCACTGGAGCAGGAGCGGCAGATTGAACAGGCGATATAGGGTAATGCGGTCGTACAAGCAGCCACTGTTGGAACGCAACTCCGTGCTGATCCGTCAGATGATGAAGAAGAAGACCCTCCTGATGATAATGGAGCAAGTCAAGAAAATAGCGCCAACGGTACCACCGAAAGTCTTTCCATGAACGGTGAATATGAGAATGTTGCGGATCTCCCACTTCGTGACGTTCGAAGTATGTTTCGCGAAAAACTACTGAAGCGATGGAAGTACGATCACACAAATGCTATGAAGATTGATCCAACCACCAACCTTGACGACTTTGTTGGCTCGGATGACCATACAGTCGAAGACAAGAATTGCAAAATGGCGGAGCGATGTGGCGTGATCACGTCACGCCATGGTACTCCAAAGCTAACAGCAGAAATCCTCGCGTTCAAAAACAGTAAAAGACTTGGTGGCGAAACACTCCGACTGAAATACTCGGAATCGAGTCCTCAGGATTACTGGAACGCTATGAACAACAAATAATATCCGTTGCTGAAGAAAATTGCTGAAATCGTCTTCGCGATCCCAACATCATCAGCGGTCAGCGAAAGAGCTTGGAGTATTTTTGATCACATCCCAAAAAAGCGAAGAAACAGGCTTTCGGTTGAGAAGGTCGAGATGCTTGCATACATGTACATCAACTATAGAACCCTCAGGCACAATGAAATCGACCTTGCTCGGCATCAGGCTTACCCAGATAGTGTAGATTAATTGTGTCTGAAGGGATTTATATTCATAATTAATCCGTGACCACTTCCAGAATGCTGTCCTCATTACCATACAACAGGGTACGAGCTATCATCCTTGCTTTTCTTTGAGTCGTCATTTACCGTGACTTACACGATAGACTTCACCCATTTGAGTCACGCATCACCTCTATCCGACGAGGATTCACCTCGGAGCCTCCAGTCCGCCGCAGCGGCTACTTTGTTGGTAGCCAAGAGCTTGCGGTTGCTGAAGCACATCTCGCAGCAAGTTTTGGAGCTCCAGGCCACAATAAACGCCCCCAACGCAGCATCGGCTATACTGATCACACCGCGGGTCATCATTTGAGTAGCTCGAGGGGACTGTAAAACCCACTCCAACTTAGCGCGACACAATCACAGAATGCGTTGAGCAGCTATACAAAAGGACATCGCAGCTTTGTTGGGAATGGGTAGTCATTCCGGATCGTCATATCCTTTCCACTTGGTCAGGTATTCGTATCTTCGTTTGGAAGTTCACGTCCGTTTGGTCCATCTCAGATCCAGAATTTTTCCATTTCGTACTCATCATTTTCATGATCAGGCGCCCAACTATCTTCCGGAAGGAGAGCTGCATCGAAATCCTCGCTTTCCGAAATTTTGATCGGGCCAGTAGGTCGTTTCGGAAATAGGGCACGTGGTTTCAAACGACTGATATGCACCCAGGGGTTCACGCGGTATCCAGTATCTTCGATCTTCAACTTAACTCCAAAATTATCGTGTAGTTCCGCGATACGGAAGGGGTCATGCCACATATGAGCGAGTTTCTTACTCAATCTAGGTTGCACTTTCGGAATGTATAACCAAACTGAATCGCTGGTTTGAAAACCAGATTTTATCCGTTCGGACAACTCACGCCATTTCTTCTTCTGACAGTATTTTTAGCATCCTTTTGGAGTCTCTCCGCACAAGCCTGTACATATCCATAGTTCCTTCGAAGTTTGCGACGCGACTCGAATGATGTCCGTTCGGAGAGGTTGGTCGGTTTCGGACCCAATATAGCCGAAAGTAAAAATATTCTTTGCGTCCCAGCCATGTACTAGGTAGAAAGGGGTGTCCAGTCGGGTATTGTCAAACGACGTGTTCAACGCGGACATCAATCTCACGGCGTGGTCATCCCAATACTTTGATTCGCTTCAGCAACGTGTGCCCGGACGGAATGTATCACCGTCTGGACAGATCTCTTCTGCTGGCCATTTGTTTGGGGACGATAGCCCAACATTGAACGTTGTCGGCTCTCCAACAGCTCTCTGAAATGAGTGAACAATTCGGATATGAATCTCGGATCCTGATCGTGTCTCAGAAGGGAGCTCGTTCCGAACAATCGGAAAACTTCTTCTTCGTACGCATCCGCCACTTTTTGTGCCGTAGTTGAACACATCGGTTTACACATCACAAATCCAAAAAAATGTGTCTTGGAAGAGAGCAAGAAAGTGTTTCCTTTGTTCAGACTTTGGGAGATGAGTCACGAAGTCCATTGAAGGAACTTCGAAACGATAAGTTGGCTCGATGTTTCTGGGCGAAGGACCAGGATTCGGAAGACGTCCCTTTCCACTTGCACAGTCTACACATTATTTCACATAGCGTTCAACGTCGGTATATATATACTGGTCCAGTAAAACCCCGTCTGGAGTTTCTCATAGGTCCTCTTGAAGCCCTGATGTCCGCCCTGATAATATTCGTGTGCAAAGTGTAGTAGATCTTCTCGAAGTGAAGTCGGTATGAATAGTCGTAGCTCGGATTCCATGTCCCGAGGTCGTTCTTTGGTCGACTGCGCCAGTCGATACAGAATATCTCTGGCATCCGACACAAAAAAGTTCCGCATGTTTTGCTATCTTCCGGAGACGTCTCAGAGAAATGATCGAAATCACCATTCAAAAACCCTTTAGTTCCGAAAAATATTCATCTCCGTCTTGATGCACCCGGATTCGTCGCCATCTTTCCGTCTGGAACTCGAGAGGTCCCATTGGGGGCTTTCGTAATTCACATTCCTCTCTGTCGACCTGGTCAGAACCGCCAAAACTTTCGCGGCTGGCGGCAGTGGAGCAGATTCTGCTCTGGTGGTCTCCTCCGGAGGTATATCCGTCTGGACAATTTCGTTCAGGTCCTTTGGTTCTTCGTCCGGAGTGGGCATCGGCTTCATAATCTGTTCGGCGATTCTGGATACTTGTTCCAAATGCGCAAACTCATCTTGGTATGTCACTTCCCAATTATCTCAATGTCTTGGAGGTGAGGTAGTCCGCAGATTGGTTATACTCCCTTTTGACGTGAACCAGCCTTACCGTTCGGAACTTTTCTTTCAGAGTTTGACACTCTGTTAACCGATGTAGCAGGTTTGGTTGATGACAATTGATCAAACCTTGCACTTGTTGTATGACGATTCGAGAATCTCTCACAACAACTAAGTCTTCGACGTTCCGTTCGGAACTCATCACCAATCCATTTCGGAGTCCTTGGTACTCAGCATTATTCACTGTGACATCTTTCAGAGTGAAACATCGAGCTTGGATGACTCTCCATTCCGGAAGTTTCCAAAGGATGCAACCGCAACTGCCTTTCTTAGTCGGAGTCTTGGCTGCTCTATCGAAACGGATAACAATGCCAGCATAGTCACTCCCAAGCATAGCCATACTAACTACTGGATGTGCTCTCGTATGCGCTTTTGTGAGGATGAGCGATTCAGCCACCTTGTCCAGATGTTCTCTCGGAGTTATACCAGCTCCCATGATGGCGGGTAAACCATCCTTGTCCCGTTGTACTTTCTGAACCGTGATATCCCAGTGTGACAACGCCACACTAGGGTACGCATCGTCCTTGGGCGGTTTTCGAAGTGAGGACCCATTTTAGAACGGAGTACCTGGTGTATATATAGACATCCTTCCAACATCGTTCGGAAATCTTGGAGTACTCGGAAAATCGGGATCACATCTTTCTTAGCACTATGATATCGTAATTCCGAATAGTTCAATACTCGTCCTGTGAACCTCACTGGAAGAATTGTTCCGTCATACACTTGTCCTAAGACAGCGAAAGCTGCCCATTGGTTGGGATGCGGAATAATCACAAATGGCCGACTTCATCGCATATCGCAACAACGGGGTCGAAACGATCTTCAGTTTCAAGATTTCAAAAGCTTCTTTCGCCCGGAGAAGGTCTCGTCCGGAACGGATCCACTCTTCCGTGAGTTCATACAGTGGTGCAGCTATCACTGGCAAATCTTCAAAGCAATTATGATAGTAGTTCAAACTTCAAGAAAAGACAACACTCCTTTCAGAGTCGCCGGAAAAGGTAAGGCTTGAACTCCATTCACAATTTTCGGATCGGCACGTATCCCTTCGGCGCTGATTTCGTGAGAAAGGTACGGGATGACTAACTTTCCAAATTCGCTCTTCCGAAGAATTACTGAAATATTCCAGTAACGCAATCGGTAGAGCAATTCATTCAGGTCATCACAGAGATGATCCCAAGTCGCGGCACCATGAGCGATGTCATCGATGTAGGAGCTCCTTCCGAGAACAGGACCCATCTGTGGTGGCGCTGGAATATACCGTTTGAAAACTGTCATCGTCTTCGTCAGGATGGGGACATTCCGCTCGGCAATCTCACTCCAGTCGGAAAGTGGCAGTCCCAAATGTTTAAAACGTCAGCGTCAACGTCAGCTTCCTCTTCAGGAGAGAGTATGACGAAACCCTATAAGCAGTTGTTGATCACAGATTCGTAGATGGGCGGAGCGTTTCAGTCCGAAAGGCAATCGTACCCACTGAAATTGTCTGAACGGACACACAGATGTGGCCCAGAAACTACTGGTCATGTCAAGGCTCACGAACCACATCAATTCTTCGAAACCAATTAGAAAATCGTCGATCAGAGGTAACGGATAGCACGAGCGTTTCAGCAAACCATTCTCGAACCGGTAATCTATACACATCCTGATGTCAATCACGTTTTTTTTTCAGAACGATGACTATTAGCGGTGCCCAGGGCGATTCCGAATGCTCGATCCGATTCGCTTCCAGAAGTTTCTTGAGAAGCTCTTATACTTTCGGAAGGATGTGAGGACCGACCGAACGTGGTCTCAGGGTGATGGGTTGTGCAACACCGACATCCAGATCACAAATAACTCCACGAGCAGACACGGGGCTGATTTTTCCATCTCCAAGGGAAATCTTGCTGTGATACTCGAGAATAGATCGCAACTTCCGTTCTTTCTCTGGAGAAGACTTTCCGGAAACTCCCACATCGGCAGTCGAGATATCACATTGCGGAGTCAAGTCTTCCAGTTCGGGAAGCATAGCGAGTTGATCGCGCAACTGAGACATCATCTCACTTCCTTCATGGATGTACATTGGAGTGTCTACTCGTTACGGACCCACATCATCGTCCAATGGTGGCTCCACACAGTCCTCATTTTGAAAGTTATCGTCAGATTCCAAAGGGAGAGCATCGAAAAACTCTTCCCCTTCGGAGTCGACGTCTCTGGTCGGAGCGGGCCCTGTTTTGTTCGAATCATCATCTTCACTTTCGGAGAGCAAAGAAGATCCCAAAAGTTCTTCGTCACTGGAAAGCACGACATTCGCGACTTCACAATCGAATTTCGTTCCGCTTTCAACCTCGTACGTCTGAGTCGAGATAGTCTCTGACTAGCCTTTTCCGTCCGGATCGCATTTGAACTGCACATATTTCTTTTCCACCGGATCATCTGGGAATTGAGTACCTATTGTCTGCGTTTGGACAACTTTCGAGACTGTGGGTTCCTTTTGAAGTTGTACCATTCGGACTTCGCCCATGCCAGAAGGAGACCTAGTCATCAGTTTCGTCAGCCATGGATAATCTACTGACTGAACCCACGGTGGTTCCACTTCTTGCGTCAGCTGTTCAAAACGTTCTTGACGCAGTCGCCGTTCCCTCGAAACAATATTCTCATCGATCAGATACTCTCATTCTTGGTACCTCTTGAGCCCCGGACGGACAAACCTTCCGGTCGTAAAGTATCCGAACTCCACTATCCGAGCCAACGCGGTTGGCGTGTCGATCCACAAACTTCGAGATAATATGTTAACAACTTTCACTACAACTGGCCATGACTAGGCACCGTAGATAAGCTGGGTCACTCATCGGTCGCCTCGTGCGACCTATACCACTTCTCGTGGAGAGTTGCTCTGCATAGTGAATTCGGACAACAGAGTATTCTCCGGGTCGGAGATGTAGCGTTTCATGCGAACATACAGGTAAGTCCAAGCCGTGAGTTGTCCGAACGGGTCCTGCTCCGCGCGAGTCGGATCTATCCGGCCGTTGTACCGTGGCGTTGCGTCCCGTAACACTTGATTGAGTGGAATTCGTGGAATATATCCCACCCATTTGCTTGCAGTTGATCCAACTATTCATCAGTCAAATCAAGCTCTACTGGTACTTCATCTGCACCAACGACATCGCCTTCACCATAATTACCTTCTGCATTTTCAGAACCAGCGTCATCTCCGTCGTCATTGTCCTCAGCAAGAAGAATAGACTCTTTGTCACCTTCCGCATCAGAGACAAGTGTCAACAACCAATCCTCGTGGCCAATGTTCAGATCTTCAGCGTCTGTGGGTTTAAAGAGGCGGTCGCGCATCAAGACAGTTAAGAAGTCCTCGGAGTCAAAGTCATCAAGTGGAGTACCACCCGTCATATCTGGAACTAGTTCAGGTCTTTCACTAGGAGCAGAAGCATCCATATCCGTAGCAGGGGCTTCTGTAGTATATGCATCAATCACCGGCGTCTCGGGAACGTTAGGTTCTGTAGCATCCGTAACAGGTTGTGCGGTATCTACCGGAACAGCATCCGTCGATCCCGTAACTACAACCACCGTAGAATCCGTAGCAAATAGGAATGTCAGTATGCTTAGAACAGACACATTTTGGTTTGCACCCGTACGCTTCTTGTGACGCTTTGGAGACACTTGATGTTGTTGCTGACCGCTTTCCCCTCAGAACACCACCCGTTGCCTTGCTAGCAGCTTGCAGCGGCCTGACTGTGGTCGTCTTTGCAGGAGCAATAGTAGACGTTGCCTTCCCAGCATATTTTGGCTTCACAGCCGTGCCACACTTGCCAACAGTCTCAACAATCAGTGGCCTCGACGTTGATGCAGCCAAAGTAGGCGACCTTGTCGCAGCCGTTGTTGCCTCAGTCACAGCAGTCGTCGTCACCGTTGGAGGCGACGTAGTTGTAACATAGTCGTGGCAGTCGACGGCTGCCCAAACGCCAGCCATCCTCGGCACCGACAGTATTGAAGGAGGCTCGTTTCGCCTGTACAGCACACGATAGGGTAGCTTTAGTTGACACATAACGCAAATTTATACACGCCAACAAAGAAGTCGACTCCTTCCGTTCCCTTCAGTAGTTCGAGGCTCCAGGTATCTCTGCTCGTTGCTCACTCCCGTCGACTTCTTGTACGTCCAGCCCTTCTTCGTCAACTCGCGCCATATCTTCTGGAAGGACTTCTTGAACGCGTACACGTACATTATTTCAGAGTGATTGTTCGTCCTTGGCCGCCCAGCCTTTTATTTCGAAGGAGGCAAGTTGCCTCCTTCGGACATTGATATCTGATCCCCTACCCCTCTGCGAAAATCTTCGTGTCACATGCGACATTGATAATACAATTGATCTGTCTAAATGTATCACATACAAACTCCTGTATGTGAATTTTGCTCGCTCTAAAAATGTTGCGGACATCGCCGAATAGTTTCACCTCTATAAATTAGATTCCGAATGTTAACATCCGATTGGTCACATTTAGTTGGTCATTCCCTCCGACGTATCGTTACTCTGCATTGAAGTATCAAGATAACTATTACATATGGATTAGTTACACAAATTTTAATATAAATTAAAACCGTCTAGCCGAGTAACGAGTTTGTCAGTCCGTCAGTCGGTCTGTCTTGCCCCCCAATTCATACACCGTCTAAAGTACGATGCTGCCGAGCGCAGCGAAGGCGCCATCGATTGGTCAATATTATCAATAATTAGTGTGGCAACAAAAGTAGTGTTCCCACATAATCGTACTTTGTACAAAACCGTGTGGTTACATATCGTACTGAGGAACGAACGCAAAGGTACGCTGCGTGTATGCATGTTGTAGTACACCACCACGCTCACAGATAGTCTGAGAGCTCCCAATTTTAAGCGGGTGAAGTAGCAGCTCAGAGAGTCCCTGCAGGGTTCATGTTTGGTACCAAACGTGTTCCTGTGAGTAGGAAGGGGATACTTTCAGGGAGGTTTGCCGTGCTAAGGGGTTCTTAACCCCCGCCCACTCTGTGCGAGAGTACCTAGAACCTTGACCGGTTCTCAGGCAACCTGTCTATTGACCACAACCCCGGGGCGAATTTATTGAGCTGGGTGTTGCTCCTATTTGGGAGTTAAAATGCGTATCACTGCCTGAACACCCACTTTTATGCGGAAAGGATATCGCACCCAAGCTACAGTGCTATGTGACGATGTGGATTGCAATTTTGAAAGATGGAGAGGCGAGGAAGTGGAACAATGTGCTGATTGGTTAAGACGAATGCGTCCAGAGCGGACATCTGCGTGAGACATGGAGAGAGGCAATTCCAGAGTGAGGAAAGCTGACAGCCGTGTGCTCAAGAAAGGGACCATAGGCTCGGAAGTGATCATCCAGGATAAATGTTCATCCAGGATAGATAGTCACCCAGGGAAAATATCCATCCAGGGTGAATAGTCACCCAGGATCGAGAACCATCCAGGATGAAATGAATCACGCGGTCCGAGTCGCAGATACCCTGACGACAAGTACCCTAGGAAGGGAGAAGAGCGCCCTGAAGAACGTATCTCGGGCAGCTACCTGTCCTGACTTGAGCCGCCCTGGTGTTACAGCGACCAACCTCGACTATGAATGTGTCAACAAGTGTCTCCGAAGTATCACCAAGTGATGTGTGATGAATGATCACCAGGATCAACCATAATGACGACGGCCATCCAGGATCGACGAGAGTTCGCCCTGAACGATCAAGTGCAGATGTGGTTGAGTGTCAAGTGTGAAGTGTTTTACGATGATCCTGGCGCTGGCTATTCAGGATGAAGCCGCCCTGGATGAAGACATCCAGGATCAAGACTCACACAGGTCAACTCGTAGCGACGTGCAGACATCGACCGACACGCAAGGTCTGCGGGTATCGTCAACATGTGATGTGTCCACCGCCTCCCATACTGAGGTCAAGAAGTCAAGATGTGCAAGCACCGTCATC